AGTATGGCTATCAAGAGAAATTTCATGAAAGCTACTAAATTATGGAAGATACAATCCAATAGCAACACAACAATCATGACATGAAACATACCCAATATAGCTAGCTAGATCTCATATTCTCTCACAATCAAGCTATAAATCGTTCCCATTCTCAAATTCGAATTCATCCACAATCCAAGTTTTACATTCCCAGGCCATAACGCGGTTACATTGTTTCCCTTAAACTCGAGTCGACAATTGTTGTTCTAGAAGAGTTCGTCTTGGAACCCAAAAACGCCAAAGTCTGCCATTGTCTTAAGTAAGAAAACACCAAATATCCTCCTCAAAACAATGATTTCTTCGCATGTCTTGATGTGCTTCTTCCTCCACACTTCCTCCACTGTCCTCAGACCCTAAACATTCAGCTTCTTCCTCCACACTTCCTCTCCATCGAAAACCCCTTTCTCCTTTGCGTTCCTCAATGAAACCTCTGAGCAATCATGGTGCTCGACAAGCTCATAAGCAGAGTATTTTAAAGAGATAATCATCGTGAATTAAGGTCTCTCCCGGGATAACACACTTGTTTGCTTGCTTGCTCTCGAATCTGTCGGATTCACATGGTACAGCACTTTAAATTTGAATCGATTCATTATTCCGATACTCATGATCCATGCCACGAATTCTTTCATACATGTTTGGAATCCTGGGAGATTCTCTTCACAGCGACTTTAAGCTTCGTCGTCAAAAGAATCCCTCTCGAATCTGCCGGTTCCGAGAAGATATTTCTCCTTTAATACTCTTTAATCGATTCTCCTTTCATCGAAATTGAATCTTCACGAATTCGATTTCTCTGTCATCAATCTCTTCTTTGAACTTTTTTTTCCTCCTCACAACATAGAAACCAAGCAAGATCAAAAATCAATTTTATAGAAAGCAGAGGCTTCGATGAAAGCTTCGATGAAAGCTTCGATAAAAACTTCTCCGACATCGACACGAGATTTTGTTTTTTATTTCCTGTTTTTCTTTAATAAATAAAACTTAAAACTAAAAGAAATCTGTTTTAGTAAGGGTAAAAACGGGAATGCACAGCTCATTAAACAAAAAGAGTATCATAGACTACAAAAGAATATGAGAGACATGAGTAAGGTGAGATTGTAGTATTTCAGACATTAGTCTCTACTTGTTGGGTTATAATAATGATAATAAGATCTATTATCTTATAACTTTTTATAAAAATTAACAAAAATAAAACGTGGATAATTTGTCAAGAAACAATTGCACGTGTCTGCTGAATTAGCACATTATGCATATTATGCCAGTATGCTTTTTTTTTTTTTGAAAAAGCATATTATGACAGTATGTTTTTTTTTTGAGAAAAATATGACAATATGTTAATAGTTCAAGTATGATAATTTGAGCTTTTAATAAAAAAAATT